ATGGATGGATGGATGGATGGATGGATGGATGGATGCATGGATGCATGGATGCATGGATGCATGGATGCATGGATGGATGGATGGGTGGATGGATGGGTGGGTGGATGGATGCATGGATGCATGGATGCATGGATGAATAAATACATGAAATAATGAATGAATGAATGAGAGAAATTCAAGCAAGGCAACAAATAGGCAAACATGTTCACTCACTTCGATATCCTTCACAGTAAAATCACAACTGAAGTTTTCTGTATCTTGAGTACATTGAACCTAAAAGAAAAAACAAAGAAATCCAAATAACTATGATAAATCTATCTTAAAAACGATGGTTATTGGGCACATTTCGATGCAGTTCTATTTTCAAAGCCGAATCTGTAAACTTATTACTTTATTGAGGCAATGATTGTTTCATTTTGATTTCATTCTTTGTCAATAAGAGGTTATTATTGAGATATCTAGTGTTGTCGTGGTAGATGGAAAATTATTCATGTTTCAATGTATGCTAGGAACAGTTCCTTTCTGTCCTGCAATTACCTATCTACCAATCTCCACTCAATGTTTGCCCTTTAACTTGTTTTTGAAACAGCTGTTACAAATATCGTATTTCATTCATGCTCTACATTGGTATTTACCCTGATATCTTCAAGTGTGCAGGCAGACAGCTGCTCAAACACATCCATCTCTAGACTCACATTCACTCCCTCCAGTGTTGATGATACCTGACAAGTAAAAAACACAGAGACATCTTATTCATCAATCCTGAGCACAGAAAGGATGGGCATGCTACAATGAAACCCAGGGCTTAAAATAATGGCCGATCAGTCACCAGTCATGATCACAGGCCACATTAGTTTTAGCTTAGTCATACGTACATGTACCTCATGGCTTAATGTTAATGGTCAAAATGACCAGCAAGGAAAAGATTTGCCTGGACAAGTGCCTGTTCTGGCTGGACATTATCCCATCAGATCAATGGCTGATCAGTCACCAGTCATGATCACAGGCCAAATTAACTTTAGCTTAGTCATACCTCATCTCTGGCTTAATGTAACTGGTCAAAAATAAGACCAGCAAGGCAAAGGTTTGACTGGACAAGCCCCAGTTCTGGCTGGACATTATCCGATGTCCGGTTGTTATTTTGAGCCCTGGAAACCCAATGAACGAAAGATAAAGGCCAGAACTAAAGGTTCATCCCTAAATTAATAACCCATGTGTTTGTACATAATAATTATATTATAAACAGGTATTTCCGTTTTTGGATTTGTAAACTGAACACGGCTGTTGTGTCAGTGTTGTTCTTTGTGTGCTAATAAAGACAATTATTATTACAACTTCAAGTTTCTAAAGGAACGGTGACCAATAAATAAATAAATAAATGGATAAACTACCGATAGTCTTTTTTTTTTACCTATTAACAAATGCAGCTAAAATAAATGAATACAGACAATATTAAAATTAGGTTGAAATCAAGAGAATATGAATGCTTAATATTCTCTTGGTTGAAATATATTCAGATTTGCATTCTTTTGGTTTCCAAAACCACTACTTTTTGCTATGGTCTATCACGAATAGACCAGTATTTGCTCAGCCAATCAGAGCACAGAAGTTTTAATAGACCATTCATACTATAGTACTGTAGATTTCTACTAATAACCAATAGTAATAGGGTGTTTAAGGGCCCTCAGTAATTGATGAAAGCTGTTGTGGTGTATGTCCCTGCTATCCAATTCTCTATTTTGCTGTTTTCATTTTTTCAATATTCAGTTACACTCCTACTAAAGTTATTTAAGATAAATAAAAATAAAAATATAATATGCTACATGCATATACATACCTGTGTTCGAGGGCAATGCTCTTTTATTATCAGTTTTACATTCTCACCAAATCTTGTGAGACTTGATGGCCCAGTGTTTTGGGTAAAGGATGAATAATCCTATATAGAACATTTAAGTGAAGAACATCATTGAACTGTAGGTACTGTAAGTTACATTTCAGAAATTGTAAGCTCAGGATTAGGACTGAACTATGTAATCCTGTAAAAAATGGGTAGCATGGGTGGTGTAATAATAGAGAGCGCTCCCCTCTGATCAATACGACCTGGGTTCAATACCCGTTGGCTTAGTGTCGTATGTGAGTATAGTTGTATGTTGGTTCTTTCTTGTGCTTTGAGGGTTTTTCTTCAGTTTCTCTGGTTTTCCTCCCTTCTCAGAAATCTTATATTAAATCCCAATAATTCGATCTTTGTGCTTTCACTTAGTATGTAGTTGTTGTGATTGTCCTACACAGTAATACAACAGCCAAAGCTTAATTGAGCAAAGACGACTACACAAGAGAATAAGTGTCTTTTGTGTAATGAATGTTCTGGTTGAGTGATAGATACTATTAGTCACTAAATAGTACTATTTGTTAGTTTTACTGAATGTGCTAGGCTATATTAAAGAAGTTAAACAGTTTGGTTGTCATTTGTATTAATACTACTGTACTCTTACCTGTTGAAGGTTGGCCAGAACACTTAAACAGTCTGGACGTAAAATCACTGACAAGATTTCATTTGACTCAGCATTCATAATCAGGCATCTCTTATATACATGGGTACTCTAAAAATGAATCATTGCTGTTATTTAAGTTGGGTCAAATTTTGATAGCCTGTGTTCAACTGTCTCTTGACTCGCCTCTCTAAGACTTAACCCACAGTTACGCTCTGCTTAACCTAGGCTACTCTCTCCTGCAGTGATAAGAAGATACTTATTAAGATACTCACTGTAAAGGAACATCTCCAAGATGCGGTTATGAGATCATTACCAAGGATGATGCAAGGATCAAGAGCATGGATATCACTGACAGACACACCCTGTATCCCTAGTGATCCACTACAATGAGACTAGAGTGACACAAACAAACCACATTAGAACAAGACCATG